CTATGCTTTGGTTTATTCTGAGATTTTTGTTTTAGTCGCTTAACTTTCCGCTTTAGAGAAACAAATTTCTTTCGTGTCAGACTCGTTCCTTTTTCGGATTTCTGATTTCGCATCTCATAACTTTCGCTATCAAACTTGTTTCTTCTGATGTTTGAAACTCTTGAAGTCTATATATTTTTAGTGATCTACCCCCGGTTTTATTTTTCGAAAAGGGGAAAAATCATCTTGCTTTTGTTGCCTCTATCGTCCCATGCGTATCTCGTGCTTTATGTTTCTATAATGCTCGTTCAATTGGCGATATTTTTCAGTTAGGTCTTCATAGTGATTTTTGTAGTAATTTTTTTTTCGGTTAATTATGCTTATGGAAGTTCCAAATAACTTGGCATCTGCTTGCATGTAACGTATTTTTGTAAAGACTTATAAAATGGAAAAGGTACGCTGAACAAAGAGAAAACTCTTTAGCTGTTATCTTTCAATGTCTATCAACTGATCGTTATGCGTAAATTACCGTGAAACTGTTATAAATGTTTTATCAGAGTATTGGTAATTATATAAAATCAAATTAATCCATCTGATACGACGTCAGATACTGTACATCGCAGCATTTTACTGCATTTTTACATGCGTACTTACTTTTAAACCCGCAATATCTCGACAGCAAAATCATATTTTTCTACAATTTTTCGTCATCAGTTGAACACGTATGTCCATGAAATATTTTGCCTATCAGAATTCTAAATTACTGATCTGGGACTTTTTAAATGAGAATCACGCAAGCCGTATTATGCGACTTTCTATGCTAAAACCGGGTGTGGATTGTAACATTTTGAAGAAAATGATTTTAATTTTAAACGAAAAATGAAGATAACTATTTCATTTCTTAACGGATCTTTCTCAAATTTTCACAATATTTAAATTCACCATTTTGGAAAAGACAAACAGATTCTGTGTGATGACGTCATAATATAACAATGCTAACTTAACGCTTATATTTATTCAAAAAAAGTGTGGACAGGCAGAATTTCGTACCAACAAGATATATATTTTGATCAATTAAACATTAAATCGTTTGAAAGGTGAATTATTCTTTTTTGATTTCTGAAAGGCATATCATATTCTATATTTTTATCAAAAAACTATATCATTTAGATTAAAATTCAGTCTGTAAGAAGTATAAATTGAAAGAAATATGAAGTGAAGCCATGTGAAAAATTTAGAAAATTACGTTTCAATTTTTGAGTTCAAATATTTCTAATTAAGGGATAAACATTCAAAACTTTCCAATGTTTCAGCATGTTCTTTTAAATATACCCCTTACTACATACAATTAATTTCATTTAATTTGAACCAGTATATATTGAGATAGACATCATTTTATCACCGCAACCCCAAGTGAAGCCTTTACAAAATAAGACGTTACGCCGTTAGCGTATTATATGTTCTCCTTTATTATTCATTGCTTTAAATAAATAAAACTAAATATTCGGGTTAAAATAAATAACAAATAATGCATTTAACAATCCTTCATATCTTCCCCTCTGTGTATATCAGATGAATATGACAAGGGACACTGTGAAAGAGTCTAGAAAGACGGTACGACAACGAAAGCGCAGGGCCGAAAAGCGCGACAAAGAAGAAAACGGGTAAGGTTTGAAATGTCTACTTTCTGGTGATTCTACATGTAATTCTGTATATCGTGACACAACCTTTTTGAATATAGACTTGTATTGAAGCGCATATAAATCTGAAAAAAACTTTACTTTACTTGGAGGAGCATTGCGCATATTTATCGCGTCGATCTTTGCATTTTGTCGGTAAAATGAACAATTACAATGTTACGCCGTGATGTACAGTATCTGACGTCGTATCACCTGTGATTTATACAAATGACTAATTTACTGCTTTGAGTCCAATGGTATAACCATGTCGATTTTCACGCATGTCGATTGTCACAGTTTCACACTATATTCGCTCATAGATGGGGTCGGGTAGGTTATTTCGTGAAATATTTTCGTTAAAATAGAGTGGATATAATGTTTTCTTGAATAGTGTCCATATTTACACAAGAATGCTGCCCATGTTTGAATCACATCTTGGTCGTTTTTCACAAGAAAAATGGTGAATTTTCAGAATTTTTCAGATAATGCTCATTATAATTCAATCACAATTACTATCACGATTTGGAATACGATGGTCTGATAAACTGAATCAAGGACTTGCTAACCACATATAACCTATTTTTCTCGGATTCCCCTAATGCCCCGTGGGTGTGTTTTAACGACCATGTCGATTTTCACAGAATAAATTTTACATTTACTTTATTGAGTCTATATATTCGGTAATAGGTGGAGATCAAATCCGGTGCTCTCATCACACTGTGAATGAATGTTCTCTATGCCAGCATAACCAAAATTAAAAGATGTGACCATTTATTATTGAGATATGGCATGTTATCAAAAGCGTGTTGTCCTGTTACATTGACAATTTCACCGAAATTCACAATTTTGGAGCCAGATATCAACGCTACTTACAATCGAAACGATCAAAAAGTATGCTGACGTACTTCAGATAAAGGCATTCTATTTTAGAATACATAAAATGTTGAGCAAAAATACGTTTTGTTTCAGCTATGTTCAATTACATGAAAAATTCCTATTTTTAACACTTACTTGTTTTCACTGTATTATGTATTTGAGCCTCATTTTGAACAGAAAATATTTCCTGCTATTCTCTTTAATATCCCTTCTTTCTTTTTACAAAATGATAGGTTGTCATCGAAAGATTTGCCTGGCATGGAGAGCATGCTATTTTTTTCTTTTCAAATAGTTCTATGTCAATTTATGAAGTAAAATATAGTTACAGACACTCAATCAATCTGAACCACTTTGACCTTGTACAATCGAACTTGTGTTTGCAGACAACGGTATAAATTAAACAAAATGACCTTTTCAACACGCTGGCTTTTATTTACTAACCATGCTACTTTTCCGAAATTAGGACCACTCTGCGATCTGGATCTAGTGAAACACTAAAACTCGCAAACATTTTACTATGTTATATCTGTTTTCGTAGCAAAACTGATTTCAACTTCAGAACATTGTTTCATGTAACGTGACATTTGAAGTCTTTTAACACCAAGCCCCTTTTATTGAGGAATTCAATTGAAAATCATTTTGAGAAATGTAATAAAAGTGTGTGGTATTCCATAGATCTGTAGGTGCCATACACATGTCCTCTTTGTCCTCTTTTTACTATGTATACAACACTGGCGGATCTGGGGGGGGGGGGCATACTCACCCTTTGGTAGGCCCAAAAGATTGTTGAGGCCTAAAAAGTTTAAGGGCCCCAAATCTGAATCTCCCTAGACTATGGATGGATTTGACACCTTATAGTTCTTGGTAAAGAGGCACCATGCATGGGGAATATGTCATGAATTGACTAATATACAATCTGACTATTTGATCGAAATTCTGTCTCATAGAGAATAAAAAGTCACATTTATGACGCTGCTCCGCAGACCTTTGCCAGAGATTACCATGGCAACAGCAGCAGAGTCAATATTTATTTTTATATAAAAAATTTTATACCAAATAAAAGCAGTATATTAATTATATGTTTGGTATTGATATCATGCCTTCACTCTTAAAAATGAATTACTTGAGTATTTCCCAAGTATTTCCCAATTATAAAAATTACTTAAAGTTAAATACTTAGTTTTACTTCATTTAACTTAGGTTTAACTTATATTGTCATTTTGAGTTTTTTAATTGCTTAATTATGTAAATGAGTATTACAATTACTACAGTAAGTATTTCAATTTCTCTCCTTGCATTAGTAAATTCACCATAAATGAATTACTTAAAAATTATTCAGTAGTTCAAGATTATTTAAGTAACTTTTGACTTAAAATGAGTAGTACAATTTCTCAATATAAGGAAATCCAAGTAATAATTTTTAAGAGTGTTTTTCTTGGAAACATTCATTTTTAGAGCAAAATTGTTATAACATATTGGACACCCTGTATATTAGGCAATTTATGTTAGAAACTAACATTATTTTTTTAGTTTTGAGCCTATTTCTAATTGATATTGGGCCCAAATTTTCAGCCAAGATTTTTGCCCTTTCCTCGATTCTGAATTTTCAGATCTGCCCTTATACCCCATGGGATGAAAGAATGCAAAATGTGATTCGATAACTTGATGCAAGAAAGTCTCATAGTTTTATTTCTTTACTTTATGGCAAATGCATCATATGATAAAGTCCTTCTTGTTTAATTGTCTCCTTTTAAGAGCACAAAAAGTGGGGGATAGATAATTATAGGACTTGGAATTAGTGATAAATTATGAGGATGCGCCCACTTGCATCATATAAGGTCCTTGATATTTATTAATTTATTTAATATCTATTTATTTGGATATACACTATTTTTTATACTCTATATAACAAAGAGAGTTGACTTGAGCAATTCTAATTGTTAAATTGCCATACACCAGGTTTTTTATCATTCTCAAAGAATATTGCATTGGAAACAAATTACTAGGCTTTAGACAACTGGAAATAATCTGATATGTTAAGAAAATTAACTACATGCTGAATGAATGAGTAATTACTAATTAGCATTTGTTAGGTGCAACAAAAGATGGCAGGATTTGCTTGGAATATATTTTATTAATCAAACAAAACAAAATAATGATTGAAGTGAGGGTTCTTAATGTTCTATAATAACAATACAATGTTTAAACAATTGAAATAATTATTTCTTTTTTCCATAATAATTTTTCTTTACATAATAGTTTTCTTTACATAATAATTTTCTTTACAAAATAATTTTCTTTACATAATAATTTTCTATCATCCTCTCAACACAGGGCTCCAGACATATTCACACTGTTCCTCCTTTCCAGGAGCCATGTGTTCAGATGATGATTTTATATCAAAATATATTTTTTTAATCTATTCCATCAATTTGATACAAAAATAGTAGATAACTTTTTCATTATTTTTCTTTATAAGTGCAAATACATGTACGTTAGATTGGGCCCAAGTAGTCACTAACATCTTAAAAATGAAGAACTGCTCATATCAAACTAAGTACAGAATATTACAGCTATATCATTGTCAAGAGCCAATGGAACTGTAAAAACGCCAAATTCATGGACATCTTCAATTTGCCATTATTGTAAAATTGCAAATTTAGGATGCCACGAATTCAAAATTGACGCTTGGCATGAATTGAAAAAATCCAAAAATCATGAGTATATAAAAAGAAGCAATTTACATGCACAAATTAAAATTGTTCCTTCTAATTTAATGTGTTTTACAGTATTATTATACAGGGGTTTCACTAGAATTTCTCACAACAGCTAAATAAATGAAAACAACAAGCAAATTAATGGAAATCACAAATGTAACATGGAATAGTTGATAAGTCCTTAAAAAAACAACTGGTGAAAACCACCTGTTGCCTGCTGCTGATGAAAACCCTGATATACATCTTATATTCTTGTGTCTTTTACCACCTGTCGAGTTAAATACAGTAAATATAGATAACATATAATACACAATAGAGTTTTACTCATTTTCCACACCTTGATTTATGTATTGTATTTTTTAAGAAATTGCCTTGTGAAAAGGTGCATTTTAAAAACTGGTGGGAAAATTGTGTCAACATTTTGGATTGAAAATTATGTCCTGTTAAGATATCCTTTTTGGGTTAAGTTATACAACACTGTCTTGAGCATAAGAATTAGAATATATCATCTTGGGCAAGTGTTCATAATCATTGAAGCATCATTTTTAGCATCATGATAAACCATGAGATCTCATTTCTTCTCAGCCCTGAGTTTCAGGTGAAACAGAAAGATGCTATGGGTATCAGAATGCATTTTTAGTACAATATAAATTATTAAATGTCACTACTCTTATCTTTCAAAATTAAGCACAACAAAACCTGTCTAAGTGGAACACCTCATAGAGGTTTAGTCAGTTAGTCTCTGAAATTTGTCTCTTTATCAGGTGTTTATCAGGTGTTCCACATTACAGGTTTCTGTGTTCTGCTGCACAGATCTATTTTGAATCAATTTTTCATTTGCAACACCATTTAGTATATATGCTTTAATCTAACTAAAAGTACAAGTTTGCAATGGCACAAGATACAGGTTAACACATATTATGTCACTATAATGAAAGGATATACTGGTATTAAAGCACTAATAATATAATTTCAAACTTAAAATGCTAGAAATATGTATCTCCCAATAAGGAGGTCACTGGAATTCAATATATGCCGGGTTCATATATTTTACAGGTTGAGACTCAATCAACTTATGTTCTTCTGAAATAATGAGGAGATAAGGAATTGTAGTGTTTTGTTAGCAAATGGATGGGTTAAGCAAAAACATTGGAATTAGGTAATCATTTTGATCTTACCAAAAGGAAGACACTTCAATATCGGTTTTCACTATATACAATAAGGCTGCTCTGTTTTTGACACAGTCATCACTCACGGGGCTGTCAGATTGGTCTGTCACTGCCAGTCAGGCAGTATGGGTACTTACATAGGAGTATACAGTAAAACCTGTCTGTTTGTAGAGGTGTTCCACTTTATAGGTTTCACTGTATAATTGGAGTTTGTTGGGCTTGGCTGCATTCCTTTAAACATATGTGGTTTGATAAGTTTTAGTAATTTGGTATAAAGAAACTGTTAGATTAGAGAGGGCCTCCATCTTAAAAATGGTAAAAATATAAGAAAATTAATATGGATCATCATATTTGTTTCTAATTCCAAGTGTCAAGCAGAATGGGTGTACCTTACAACATTTGACTAGATCATTGATAAAATGTCAATGTTTTAATGTCTATGATTTATTCGTGTTAGAGTGCATGAACAAATGATTTATTCTGTACACTTTTCAATCAATTTTAATGCTTCAATGTAATCAGGGTGTGAATCTCCTCCATACTGATGAGCAATGTTCAGGGCTTCAAAGTAATAAGTCAGTGCTTCTGTATGCTCCTTCATTTTCATGTATGATACCTATGTTTTACAATACTGTAGCAACACTTGGGTGAGGATTGTCTTTGTGTATTAGTCTATACATTCTCAGACCTTTGTGTTGATATTCAAGTGCTTTGGTCAGATCTCCCATGTTCTTATACACAAGACCTATGTTGTTAAGTGATGAAGCAACATCTGGGTGGGGACTGTCTTTGTATATTAGTCTTAACATTGTCAGACATTCTTGATGATATTCAAGTGCTTTAGTCAGATCTCCCATGTCATTATACACAAGACCTATGTTGCCAAGTGAGCTAGCAACATCTGGGTGGGGACTGTCTTTGTGTATCAGTCTTAACATTGTTAGACATTCTTGATGATATTCAAGTGCTTTGGTCAGATCTCCCATGTTCTTATACACAAGACTTATGTTGCCAAGTGAGCTAGCAACAGCTGGGTGGGGACTGTCTTTGTGTATTAGTCTTTGCATTGTCAGACATTCTTGATGATACTCAAGTGTTTTAGTCAGATCTCCCATGTTCTTATACACATTACCTATGTTGCCAAGTGAGCTAGCAAGATTTGGGTGGGGACTGTCTTTGTAGATTAGTCTATACATTGTCAGACTTTCTTGATGATATTCAAGTGCTTTGGTCAGATCTCCCATGTTCGTATACACATTACCTATGTTGCCAAGTGAGCCAGCAACATTTGGGTGGGGACTGTCTTTGTAGATTAGTCTATACATTGTCAGACTTTCTTGATGATATTCAAGTGCTTTAGTCAGATCTCCCATCTTACTATACACATTACCTATGTTGTTAAGTGATAAAGCAACATTTGGGTGGGGGCTGTCTATGTTGCCAAGTGAGCTAGCAACATCTGGGTGGGGACTGTCTTTGTGAATTAGTCTTAACATTGTTAGACATTCTTGATGATATTCAAGTGCTTTGGTCAGATCTCCCATGTTCTTATACACATTACCTATGTTGCCAAGTGAGCTAGCAACATTTGGGTGGGGACTGTCTTTGTAGATTAGTCTATACATTGTCAGACTTTCTTGATGATATTCAAGTGCTTTAGTCAGATCTCCCATGTTCGTATACACATTACCTATGTTGCCAAGTGAGCTAGCAACATTTGGGTGGGGACTGTCTTTGTAGATTAGTCTATACATTGTCAGACTTTCTTGATGATATTCAAGTGCTTTAGTCAGATCTCCCATCTTACTATACACATTACCTATGTTGTTAAGTGATGAAGCAACATTTGGGTGGGGGCTGTCTTTGTGAATTTGTTTTTTCATTTTCAGACTTTCTTGATGATATTCAAGTGCTTTAGTCAGATTTCCCATGTCTTTATACACAAGACCTATGTTGTTAAGTGACATTGCAACATCTGGGTGGGGACTGTCTTTGTGTATTAGTCTTAACATTGTCAGACATTCTTGATGATACTCAAGTGCTTCAGTCAGATCTCCCATCTTATTATACACAAGACCTATGTTGTTAAGTGAGCCAGATACCCAATTTTCATCATTGATTTTTCTGCATACTTTCAGAATGTCTTTATAATATGATAGTGCATCTGAGTAATTCCCTTGTGATATATACAATGAACCTATTGCTGTCTTTATAGAAGCTATTTTCCACTCTTGCTCTCCTGCATCTTGGCTTTGAAGTGTTTTTAACTCTGTTTTATAAGAGTGCAATGCTCTATCGAAGAAGAAAATGTTCTCATATAATTGCGCTTTCACTTCATTGTTTCCTTCACGATATCTCTCTCTATATGCCCAGATACCGCTTACATTCAAGTTTGATTTGAGAAATTCACACCAGGGTATGAATGTGTTAAAAAATCTTAATATGGCTGTAAAACTTCTGACTGGCATCACTTCTGTTGTTTCATCATCTTGAGAGTCCCTTGGTAAGAATGATATGAATTCCTTTTGTTGCTTATACCTTCCATAGACCATGTGTCTAAGGTTTATTACACTACAAACCATGATTTGTAGATCTTTTGCTGCCCCTTCAGTTAGAATACCCTTCCCTCTCAATTCCTCTAACACATCTAGAGGAGCAAATGATGTGCAACCATGCATGAGTTTCAGAATATTTATAGTGATTGTAGCAAATCTATATATATCATGCTTTGTATGCATTTTCTGAGTGAATGATTCTGATGACAAGGGATTTTCACTATATTTTTTCAAATCTTTCTCTAGTGTTCTTAATGCTCGTTCTCTTCCTATAGTGATATCTGGATTAGTTTTGGATGGTGATGATAGTATGGAATGTACTATTTCATTGTATTCATTCCATAAGGCGAATTCTCCAGTTATGAGTGTTGATGTCATGAGAACGTCACTAAGGTGATAGCCCTCTTTAATTGATTCATCTGTTAATTGAAACTTGCTCATCTCATCAACAGTCATGATAAGTTCAAGTCTGGAAGGTTTATTGGGATCTACTCCTGTTTTTCTACCAATAGCTGTTTTGCTAGCCCAAGGTTGTGTCCCATCAAAGGAAATTCCCCTAGTTGTTGCTTTGTCATAAAAGTCATTGTCTTTCATGTCACGGGGTAGGTGTTTGTTATAATCTGTCAGAACAGGTATGTCTAAGCAGTTTAACAATGTTTCCCCAAGATTAAGCACCTTCAAATGCATGTAATAGGCTATCATACGCAATTGTGTTTTGATTTGATCGACTGGTTTATCTAAGGGATCAAACAGTATTGCCCACTCAATATCTGAATAAGCAGTGACCTCTTTTCGGGATATGGAACCAAGTGCTAAGAATGCAAACTTACAATCAGGGTGTCCTAAAACAGAAATACAATCATGGATAATAGACTTATAAAAATCTAAAAGCTGTTGTGTAAGTCCATTATAAAACACCTTGCTGTATTTTATTGTGTTGTCTTCATCTTCGTCTTTCATCTCTGTGGTGACATCATCAACTACCATGTACTTTTCGATGATATCATTTACGGTGGCGTTTGAGTACACTCGTATATTTTCAAGTGTGTTAGTGTACTTCTGTGTTGAAGCTTCTGTAGATAGTTTGCTGTTTGCAGCTCGGCATTTCTTCACAAAGTTATTTTCTATAAGCTGGAGTTGTTTGTCAGTGTGTTCCAAGTCATCTTCAAGAGCTGTGTTTGTGCCATCAGTTTGTTTTTTAATTAATTTTTTAATTCGACATTTGGCCGCATTGTATAATGCACAGGACCAAACATAGTGTTCATACCAGATTTCTGAGGTCGTTGCTGATTTGATATACTCTTGTCCAAGTTGACACATGAGGTCTGCCTGTTCTTTCAACTCAGTCTGTTGGTCACATGCTTTTATTTTGCAACCAAGTTCATACATTTCTTTGGTTACCTCTGAAAGATTAATGTTCGATTTCTTATTAAACTATACAGTTTCATATAATCATGTTAGAAAATAAGTAATTTGATAGATTTTCGAAAATGCTTATTTACTAGGATTCATGGTATAATTTTATTCAGTGTTATCTCCAGGATTTTGTCTCAAGTGGGTACAAAATTCTTGATTTCTGAATTTAGACTGAATTTGGTCAGGATATGAATATGTTTCATAATTTTTCTCATTATTCAAGAGGGTTACAAATACAGCATGCATCTAAAATTTCCATCATAAGTTGAAATATTGCAGGATTAAATGGATTTTCAAGTGGGTGCATGCCTACTTTTAAAATCTCAAATGGGTGCAGCACCAACTTGCTGGATGAGATCAGTGGTACTATGCTATTTTCAAAATATTACCCTTTGTGAGTTAATATTTAATCTTGAGAAGTTCAGTAATACATCATTAGTAAGGGGTCCTGATAAATATGTCCACTTGAAATGAAACCTAAGATTGTCTGCCCTTGAACATGTTGAAATGATGTATTGCTGTGTAAACTTTCAGAAAGACAGGATGACCTTGCAATTTTGAATCATTCGGCATGCCTACATCAAATATAAACTTTCTTTTAATAGCAGAGAGTTCAATGCAAATATACAGGGTGTCTTGAAAGTATGCCCCCCCCCTAGGAAGACATATACCAGTGTCCTCAAAGTATGTGTCATATATCATCTTAAAGCGTATCCAAAGTTACATCAATTCGCCAAGCATCATGGTTCAACCTTCAAATGTGAAAAAATTACAGGCATTTCAAAATTTAGTGTTTGGTCAAAATTAAGTTCAATTTTAAACCAAATCACTAGTCAATATGTCCTCCCGGGCCATCTTAACAGCAGCAACGCTTATCGGGTCAGATGGATATTGAGTTGGAAAAAGAAAACAGTGAGGTTACAAACTGTAAGGAAACTTTTCTAAAGTGCCTTAACAAGTTTTAAGAGGGTTATAAAATTCCACACCCCTATTTGAAGGGCTTTTAAGGTCATATCTGAAAATAATTGCTGCTGTTGACATGGCCAAGGGGGGTTCATTCACTAGTTATACGGTGTAAAATTGAACTTTATTTTGACAAAACACTAACTTTTAAAATGACTAACTTTTTCCCATTTGGGAGTTAAACCATGATACTTGGCAAATCAATGTAACTTTGGATAAGGTTTAAAATGATATTTGACACATACTTTGAGGACACTGGAATATGTCTGCCTAGGGGGGGATACTTTCGGGATACCCTGTACATGTATGTTTATTATAATTTCAAACGTTGAACACTATCACAAGAAAGCTAAAGAAAATTCACTTAAAATTTAGATGTTATTCCATAGCTTCAGGTTGTGATTTTTATGTCACCAAAATCAATTATTTTTTCTAAAAATGTTGAACTTGTTGCATTTTCATTATATTGAATTTCAGGATCATATAAAGAAGATGTTTCATGTACTTGCTTGACATTTCAGTATTTTACATTTTTGAATATGTACAGGATGATCCAAAATAATTAGAACATTTTTCGTCATAAAACAACTTGTGATATCGCATATTTACTTAAGAGAATAAAAGAACAGTCCATTGTTAGCATTTTGTATTATATTTAAGTCGCCAAATCAAGGAGCTTCTTCAGGCCTCAACCTGTCTGAATAATCAGCCATTGATTTATGGCTTTATTGATAATTTGGGACATTTTGCCCAATAATGACAAAAATGCAGAACTCAGACATGCAAACTTTCTTATGAGGGTATCTCTTTCTAGACCCAACCCAATTTGCTTTGTTTGCATGAGGGCTTATTGACAGTTGAGCATAAGTTGGAGTGAATGATAAATATCATCAGTGAAAATATAGAACATTTTCACAGGACATCTAATATCAGAAGAAGTGAGTACCTCCCATAATTCTTTCATATTCTATTGTATTTGGAGATTCCCAGTATATGATGTCCAATCAAATTACAGGATGTGATCACGTGAACAATCTTAAGCACGTGCTCTCTCAGTGCTGTACATGCGCAAATTAAAATTTGAAATTGTGGAAATGGCATTTATTTCAGTTATCATTTCAACATCATCATTTCAAAACTACGGTAATACTATTGAAGTTAGTCGATCCAAACTTGAAGAGAATACTCATGAAACAACAGCGCACATTGCATTGCGAGATCCATTTCAATGGTAAATGAGGCCTGTTTATAAAATTGGTGGAGACCTTCGTATATTTGAAATGAAGGCCATCTCTTTTAAAAGAAGCTTTTATCTAAAAAAATTGAGATTTTGATAATGACATTTTTGTACTGCAAAAGGCCATTTATTAAAAATTTAGAAAAATGAGAAAAATTGTACAACAAAATTGTTTTCTATAGTTACCTGATTTATCATTGGTTGGTGGACCGGGGTTCTGCTCCACTCCTGCTCTCACCAGCAGCAGTTTTATTAGCCTAAGTCTTAATGCTAGTTGTTTTAGAGATTTGACGAATGATGAATAGAATGTCTGATTTTTCTGGCCTCCACCGAAAGTCCCTATGGCCATTCTCCATTGCTGAGCAGAATTCCCCATGTTCAATTTTGTTTAATTGTATCATTCACCTACTTCTACTACTCGAATCTTCTTCAAAATAGCAATAGCTAAATTAAGTAAAATTAGCTAAAGATTCCATTTTGATATGTATGTTGCTTATCAAGTAGATCATAAGTAAATGTTTGTCAAATACATAATTTATTTTTTCTTTGCAACAAATCGGCTCACGCCTAGTGTCTCTATTAGATTCAAATAATCTTTCGTGATTGAAAAACATGTATTATGTGTTTTTAAAATGATCTTTTGACCCAATATTATTACCATAGGCAATATAAATAACAAGCATAGTAATAAAACTGGTTTTTTGTTTATCTTTTATTTCTTTTCAAAGACACACAAATATACACTTTTAGTAAGTGTAAATTCCCAATAACAGGTTAACAATAAAGATTGTGTGTTGCCATACGTGTTAAGTGCAGTTTGGGACCTGTCTATGCAGTCAACTACAAAATAATGAATGTAAAGTTTGGCTTGTCACATCTCAATAGAGATTGATTGAATAAATAGAGACAGATTGAATAAATAGAGACGGATTGAATAAATAATACATACATACTTATTTAGAAGTTTTTTTAAAATGGAAGCTGTAGACAAGGGGGAAAAGCAGGCTCTAAAAGAAAAAAAAGTCAGTCTATTCAAAAGATTCATTCATTCTATTCATATCTGTATTGATAAGTTACAATAAGAATCTGATATACTGATCAATATATTAAACGACAACTGAAATAGTAATTTAAACCTAAAGGCTTTCATTTTCTATAATAATGGATGTATTTGAACATTTCATCTGATCAGTAATGTGGCAACTGTTTCATTTAACATAGATGGTAGCTCATTAACAAGTAATAAGTAGTATTTCAATGATTTATGACATATGTTGGCCCCCATCTGACTTGCTACTGGTCATTATGTGGCCTGTCATAATTCTAAGATGTTTTGTTATTTGTTTACACAAAAATTACACCGAGATTACCAAGGAAACAATAAACCAAAACTAGAAATTATGTTTTTTGTTTTTTCAAATTTTATTTCATTAATACATAGTTAAATATTTGTACATATTTGCGCCCGTGACACCTACATAAGTATAATATAATTGACCACATTTAAAATCATTAACTAAAAATTTTTGAGTGCTTGAAAGTTTAACACAATATGACACTGAGTAAACCATAATAACCTCAAGATACAATACATTATACGATACGTTATGTATGACATTACTGATCATGCAGGGGCCAATCTGATTGATCCGTACAGTCAATCACAGTAGGTACAATTTAAAGAGAAAATTCATGAATTAACACCCATTAGTAACCAGTTTTAGTGTTTCATCATCGTAAAGAGTGGCGCCTTAATTTAAGAAAGGTAGCATGGATAGCATATAAAAGCTGGCAAAAAGTGTTGAAAAGATATAGGGTCATTCTGTTCACTTTATAGCAGTGCCTTCGTACAAAAGTTTGATTGTACAAGGTCAAAGTTGTTCAGATTGATTGATTGTCTATAATGACTAATGAGTATCTTTAAACTATACATGTGGAAGAGCGATGATGTAATGCTTTATGATTGCTTTATTTCTCAAATATAACAGTGCTAAACTCAAATTGACCAATCACAGGTCTGTTTTCACGTGGTTAATATCCTAGCGCGTGTCTCATGGATAATTAATTAGTTCCACGAACAGTATAGTTTCCATATAGCTTTTGAAATCTCGCTAAATCTCGTTTTTCGTGAGATTTTAAGAGACTTGCATATTAGACCTCTAATGACTTACATTACCTTCTTTTAAATGGTATATTTGAATTCAGTGGAATGTTTTCTCCTAAAATAGCTTTGATTTACACAGTTATGTAATTTGAATAATTTTCTATGACAATTTAAAAAAAGTTGGGCCAAATGTCCATAGATGCAATGCTAAAATTCTTTAAAACCGTGGATTATTTGTATGTCAATCAACATTAGCATGTTTAATCACAACATGTTCATAAACAGGGTCATCATATGGTATATCATTCAAGTTTTATACAGATTCAACAAACACACTTTGATAAATCATGAAATTAAGCCACTTTTCCAAGATTTTAGCATGTAAGTGAATGGAGCTCTAGCCAGAGTTAAAAGCTGAATAAAAGATGGCAGCACGAGATTTCATTGATTTTTCTGCTATTTAGAAACTATCCTATTGAAATGTGACCATCTAAAGCCAAAATAAAAGATTTTGTAATATAAGGCCACAGTAAAAATAAGTTTCGATTATATTCTTCGATTATGGTAACTACCATATATCACTGACATAAGAGAATGCAAGATAAGGTTTAAAATAAAAGGATGTGCTAAATATGTGACAAACTATACATGTTAATCATAACAGAAAATATGTAATATTACTCCCATTCTGAGAAATCAATTTGACGTTTATTCTGTTTGTGTTCTGTGCATTATATTTGATTAGTCACTCTCTAGACGTTTGAAATCTTTTATACCAAGCCCCTTTTATTGAGGAATTTAATTGAAAATCATTTTGAGAAATGTAATAAAAATGTGTGGTATTCCATAGATCTATAAGTGCCGCACACAGGCCCTCTTTGTCCTCTTTTTACTATGTATTAACACTGGCGGATCTGGGGGGGGGGATACTCCCCCTTGGTAGGCCCAAAAGATTGTATGGGGCCAAATAATTTAAGGGCTCCAAATCTGATTCTCCCTAGACTATGGATGGATTTGACATCTTCCAGTTCTGGGTCGAGAGGCACCATGCCATTGTTGCTAATAATGGGGAATATGTCATGAATTGACTAATATACGATCTGGCTATTTGATCGACATTCTCTCATATAGAGAATAAAAAGAAGTCACATTAATGACGCTGCTCCGCAGACCCTTTCCAGAGGTTACCATGGTAACAGCAGCAGTCAATATTTATTTTAATATAAAAAAATTTATACCAAATAAAAGCGGTATATCACTTATACGTTTGGTATTGATATCATACCTTTTACTTGTAAACATTTATTTTTAGAGCAAAATTATTATAACATATAGGACACCCTGTATATAAGGCAATTTAGGTAATAAGTAGCATTATTTTTAATTTTGAACCTATTTCTTAGATGTTGGGCCCAAATTTTCAGCTCAGATTTTTGCCCTTTCCCCGATTCTGAATTTTCAGATCTGCCCTTGTACCCCATGGGATGAAAGAATGGAAAATGTGATTCGATAACTTGATGCAAGAAAGTCTCATCGTTTTATTTCTGTACTTTATGGCAAATGCATCATATGATATCAAGTGCTTCCTGTTTAATTGTCTCATTTAAATAGCACAAAAAGTGGGGGATAGATAGTAATAGGACTTGGAATTTGTGAAAATTATGAGGATGCGCCCAATTGCATCATATAAAGTCCTTGATATTTATTAATCTATTTAATATCTATTTATTTGGATATACACTATTTTTTAAACTATATAGAGCCATCCTAATTGTTAAATTACCATACACAAGGTCAATGTATCATTCTCAAAGAATATTGCATTGGAAACAAATTACTAGGCTATAGACAACTGGAAATAATCTGATATGGATAGAAAATTAACTACATGCTGAATGAATGACTAATTAGCATTTGCTTGGTACAACAAAAGATGGCAGGATTTGCTTGGAATATATTTTATTAATTAAACAAAACAAAATAACAAATGAAGTGAGGGTTCTTAATGTTCTACAATAACAATACAATGTTTAAACAATTGGAATAATTATTTCTTTTTTCCATAATAATTTTTCTTTACATAATAATTTTCTTTACAAAATAATTTTCTTTACATTATAATTTTTCTATCATCCTCTAAACACAGGACTCCAGACATATTCACATTGTTCAGCCTTTCCAGGAGCCATGTGTTCAGATGATGATTTTATATCAATGTATTTTCATTCCAATATACAGCTGAGTGTAGTTTGATAAAGCTGAATATCAATTTTAAAGTATAAAATAGTTTATTTCTGTGTCAAGCATTTCATACAAAATTCATTTAAAACATTTTTAAAAACATTGCTCCCAGTCGATGACGGCAAATGAGACACCAATCAAGTATGCAATTCCCAAAGTGAAATGCTTCGTAAAACAATAAGATAGAGTACGTATTATTGAGTTCATTGTTCATTTCCATCTACTCAAAGGAAACATCATCTCCAAGGTTGATGTTCCTGTAAAGTAGATAACTGGAAAAAAGCCTGATCAGGCGGTGATTGTAAAGGCCCTCTGGTTGGCCCATGTACCCCTTGAGGAGTCCCCCACATCAATCAGCCAATCTTGTTGTGGAAAATTTAACAAATGATTGACTTGACCATTTTTCAAATTAGAATACAAATTCACAATAACGAACTCATTGTTCGGTTCAATTACACAATACATGTACAAAGATACATGCATGTATTAAAATTCTCACACAAAATATATATTTTTGCCTACTTCTTACTTGTACACTTATAAAAATTGTAGATAACTTTTTCATTATCATACATTATAAGTCCAAATAAGTTCGAGTGGGCCCAAGTAGTCACTAACATCTTAAAAATGAAGAATTGCCCATATCAAAATAAGTACAGAATATTACAGCTATATCATTGTCAAGAGCCAATGGAACTGTAAAACGCAAAATTCACTGACATCTTCAATTTGCTATTATGGTTAAATTGCAAATTGAGGATGCCACGAATTCAAAATTGACTTTTGGCATGAATTGAAAAAATCCAAAAATCATGAGTCTATGAAAAGAAGCAATTTACATGCACAAATTAAAATTGTTCATTCAAATTCAATGTGTTTTACAGTAATACTATACAGGGGTTTCACTAGAATTTCTCACAACAGGCTAAATAAATGAAAACAACAGGCAAATTAATGGAAATCATTAATTTAACATGGAATAGTTGAAAAGTCCCTAAAAACAACAGGCGATTTTGTGAAAACAACTGGTGAAAATCACCTTTTGCCTGCTGCTAATGAAACCCCTGTTATATATCTTATATTTCTTGTGGCCTTTGTCTTTTATCACTTGTCGAGTTAACTACAGTACATATACAGGGCGTTCAGTAAGTAAAGCTAATTTTGCTCTCAAACTTTTATTTTTTGTCATTTATCTTTCAAATTTTCAGTGAAGAAGTATTTGACATTTTTCTAACTACCCTGAAAAATTAAATAAGATATGATGAATAATAGCAAAACAATGGTTGTCATAGTAACGTGAATACGGGTTCTGCGGAGCAATTTATTTCTTACTTTAATAAAAATGTTATAATGCAATGAAATTGATTAAGATTAATGCTGCATATGTCTTTGTTTGCTATGGCTGAAAGTCAGGACAAACATAACAACAACATACACAAATATGATACCATGGCAACAGTAGTCTATGACATCACAGACAGATGATACAACAGATGGAATGATCCAGAATGATCCATCAGACACTGCTCCATGACATCATCAAAATCATGGGTGCCAGGATTGCCAATGGAAGCAAAATGAACAATGAAATGAAACAAGAATTGAGGAATCAGATACAATGTGTTGCTAGGGAAATCCAAGCAGGATACCATTAGGGATATCCAAAAAGCATATGGGGACAGTGTGCCTAAGTACACAATCTACAAATGGTATCAGAAATTCCAAAAGGGGAGAAAAACAACAAGTGATGAGCCAAGGTCAGGGAGGCCAAAACTTCTAACCAAAGAGGCTAACATGAATCATTTGAGGCAATTGTTAGATGAAGACCGCAGAATAACTGTAAGGGAACTCTCAGAACTAACCAATATCAGCCTAGGATGGGTACATTATCTGATTCACAATTCTCTAAATATGTCCTTGGTGTCTGCGAAATGGGTACCAAAGAATCTGACCGACGAGCAGCGTAGAAATCGCCTGGAAGATTCAGTTGCATTCTTGCGCCGTTACAAAGATGAGGGAGAGGACTTTCTAAACAATCTTCTCACTTGTGATGAAACTTTTGTTCGATACTTTGAGCCAAATAGTACAAGACAGAACAGTGCGTGGCGAACAAAGAACTCTCCAACACTTGTTGGGATCGTTGCAAAGCTAGCTCTTGGAGCATCAGCGGGAAAAGTCATTTTTATCATTTTTATAGACATCGAAGGTCCATTGTTGGCTCATGCCGTGCCAGAAGGGCAGACTGTTAACAAGGAATATTATGCCATGGTAATTACATTTTATGAAATATATCTTTCTAATAATTAGCTTGGTTTGAGTACTAGGTCTACCTCTAAAATAATACAAAGAAAACATTTTAACTTAAACATCAAATGATCAAATTCACATTTCATTTTCAGGTGCTGCGGCGCCATCTTGTGAACGCGATTCGCAAGACGAGGCCCCATAGGACTCTCAACTCCTACATATTCCATCAAGATAATGCGCCATCGCATAGGTCGCAAATGGTGCAGGATACTATCCAGAAAACGCTGGAGATGGAGGTTCAAGGCCAGTCAGCGTATTCTCCTGACAAGGCACCGTGCGATTTTGGGGTATTTTCATGTTTGAAAAATGATCTGCGTGGTAAGATCCACGCAAATATCCATGAGCTTCAGAATGCCGTTCAATGTTCGCTGACAAAGAACTTTCCAGATGGCTTCCACAGGATATATCAGAAGTGAATAGAACGACATCAGCTGTGTGTGAAAGCTAAGGGGAACTACTTTGAACATGAAATAGAATGCTAACTTGAAAGTAGAAATGTGGAGTAGCCACAGAACTATGGTTGAAATATAGACAGGACAGAAACTAACGTTAACAAAATCTTACTATGCTGTGAACTTATAAAATTGCTCCGCAGAACCCGTATTCGCGTTACTGTGACAACCACCATATTGCTGTTATTCATTATATCTTGATCATTTTTTCAGGATAGTTAGAAAAGTGTCTGATGCTTCTCCACTGAAAATTTGAACGATGATAGACAAGAAATAAAAGTTTGAGAGCAAAATTAGCTTTACTTACTGAACGCCCTGTAGATAACATATTATACACATTAAAGTTTTACTCATTTTCCACACCAATGATTTATGTATTGTATTTTTTAAGAAATTGCCTTGTGAAAAGGTGCATTTTAAAAACTGGTGGAAAAATGGTTTCAGCGTTTTGGACTTAAAATTATGTCCTGTTAAGATATCCTTTTTGGGTTAAGTTATACAACCCTGTCCCTTAAGCATAAGAATAAGCATCTAGCATCTCGGGCCAGTGTTCATAATCATTGAAGCATCATTTTAGTACAATATAAATTATTAAATGTCACTACTCTTATATTTCAAAATTATGTACAGTTAAACCTCATATAGAGGTTCATTTATCATTAAGTCAGTTAATCTTGAAATTCTGAAAATTGTCTCTTTATCAGAGGTGTTCCACATTACAGGTTTCTGTATACTGCTGCACAGCTCTATTTTGAATCAATTTTTCATTTGCAGCACCCTTTAGTAAATATGCTTTAATACAAGTTTGCAATGGCACAAGATACAAGTTCAATACATAATATGTGACTATAATGAAAGGATATACTGGTATTAAAGCACTACTATAATTTCACACTTAAAATGCTAGAAATACATAACTCCCAATAAAGAGGTCACTGGAATTCAATATATGCCTGGTTCATATATTTTACAGGTTGAGACTCAATTGACTTATGTTCTTCTGAAATAATGAGGAGATAATGAATTGTAGTGTTAGCAAATAGTGGGGTTAAGCAAAAACATTGGAATTGTATTTAAAAAGGGGGGGGGGGTCAAGTCCTTTGTTAAATTGCTTTTATGAAGATAGATCATCACTTCGATCTGACCAAAAGGAAGACACTTCGATATCAGTTTTCACGATATACAATAAGGCCGTTCTGTTTTTCGACACAGTCATCCAAGTTTGGAATCACTTGGCTGTCAGATTGGTCTGTCAGTGTCAGTCAAGCAATATTGGTACTAAATTAGGTGTTCAGTACATCCTGTTTACATCTAGAGGTGTTCCCTTTTATAGGTTTCACTGTATATTGTATATACAATATAATAACATAACAATGTGAATGCGACCAGGGATGTTCCTATTCTTGTAGGGGTAGGGTAATATTTGGTGGGGTCGTTAGATTTTTCAATCAGCCTACCAAATTTAAGGGTAGGCACTTTTTTTTATCAAGTAGGTCAATTTTTCAAGTAGTCTGTCTGACCGACTTTTTTGAACGAAAGGTGAACCCTGATTTGAGTGTGTATGGCTTGGCTACATTCCTTAAAGAGAGAATCAGATATAGCGAGCAGGCTAAACAAAAAATGGTTTCAATTTTAGAATATTTTTGGCTCATGTCATTCCTTGTCATGTCTATTATCTAAAAATCACAAAAGTGCATACTTTATTTCAGGAAAACTAAAGACTTTTACAATAATGTATTATTTTTCTATAAGCATGGTTACCATTCTTGTTATTTGGGAGAATTTAAACATTTTTCACCCATTTTGTACTTTGAATCATTAATAACTTCACCAATTTATAACATATTGTGAATCTTTTGGGAGATCTTGTATTTGATATTGTAACAAATAGATTGGTAGGTCAATAATACAAGTTGCTTGTAATAGTGTCACCCCCTATAGCTCAGATTTTGCCTTTAATATATGTAAGGTTTGCTAAGTTCTAGTAAGTTGGTATCAAGGAACTGTTAGATTAGAGAGGGCCTCCATCTTAATAATGATGAAAATTGAAAAAAATTGCAGAATGGGTCAAGCAGAATAGGTGTATTACTAACATATGATTGAATCAGTGGAATTCCATCTCTAGAGTATTTTAAAAAAAATTATGAAAATTAAGACAAATACTATTTGCAGTTTCATTTCAAATAATTTTTTTAATTTCTTATTACCTTTTCTATTGGTGTAAATATTTTTGTGTATGATTATTGTTTTTTTTAGTTAATAGAACAATAGAGATATCACTCCAAAACATTCAGGACACTTTTTTCTGGTGTTTGGCCTGAGTCTCAGAAACCAGTTTAAATGACAATGGTTAAAGTCAGTTTCACATTAGAGTACATGATTTAATCTTCTCAGTCAATTTTAATTTATTCTTGCACTCATCAATCCAATTGAATGCTTTTATGTAATCAGGGTGTGAATCTCCTCCATACTGATGAGCAATGCTTAGAGCTTCAGAGTAATAAGTCAGTGCTTCTGTATGCTCCTTCATGTTCTCATGTGTGATACCTATGTTTAGCAATGATTTAGCTACATTTGGGTGAGGATTGTTTTTGTAGATTAGTCTTTCCATTGTCAGACATTCTTGATGATATTCAAGTGCTTTAGTCAGATCTCCCATCTTAATATACACATTACCTATGTTGTTAAGTGACATTGCAACATCTGGGTGGGGACTGCCTTTGTGTATTAGTCTTCTCATTGTCAGACTTTCTTGATGATATTCAAGTGCTTTAGTCAGATCTCCCATCTTAATATACACATTACCTATGTTGTTAAGTGACATTGCAACATCTGGGTGGGGACTGCCTTTGTGTATTAGTCTTTTCATTGTCAGACTTTCTTGATGATATTCAAGTGCTTTAGTCAGTTCTCCCATGTCTTTATACACAAGACCTATGTTGTTAAGTGAGGTTGCAACAGCTGAGTGGGGACTGTCTTTGTGTATTAGTCTTTTCATTGTCAGACCTTCATGATGATACTCAAGTGCTTTAGTCAGATCTCCCATGTCCTTATACACATTACCTATGTTGTTAAGTGACATTGCAACATCTGGGTGGGGACTGCCTTTGTGTATTAGTCTTCTCATTGTCAGACTTTCTTGATGATATTCAAGTGCTTTAGTCAGATCTCCCATGTCATCATACACATTACCTATGTTGTTAAGTGAGCCAGCAACATCTGGGTGGGGACTGTGTTTGTGTATTAGTCTTCTCATTGTCAGACTTTCTTGATGATACTCAAGTGCTTTAGTCAGATTTCCCATGTTTCCATACACATTACCTATGTTGTAAAGTGATGAAGCAACATCTGGATGGGGACTGTCTTTGTGTATTAGTCTTTCCATTTTCAGACTCTCTTGATGATATTCAAGTGCTTTAGTCAGATCTCCCATGTCCTTATACACAAGACCTATGTTGTTAAGTGAGGTTGCAACACTTTGATGAGGGCTGTCCTTGTTTATTAGTCTTTTCATTGTCAGACTTTCTTGATGATACTCAAGTGCTTTAGTCAGATCTCCCATGTCATTATACACATTACCTATGTTGTTAAGTGAGCCAGCAACATCTGGGTGGGGACTGTGTTTGTGTATTAGTCTTCTCATTGTCAGACTTTCTTGATGATACTCAAGTGCTTTAGTCAGATCTCCCATGTCATTATACACATTACCTATGTTGTTAAGTGACATTGCAACATCTGGGTGGGGACTGTGTTTGTGTATTAGTCTTCTCATTGTCAGACTTTCTTGATGATACTCAAGTGCTTTAGTCAGATCTCCCATGTCTTTATACACAAGACCTATGTTGCCAAGTGAGCTAGCAACATCTGGGTGGGGACTGTCTTTGTGTATTAGTCTTCTCATTGTCAGACCTTTATGATGATACTCAAGTGCTTTAGTCAGATCTCCCATGTCTTTATACACAAGACCTATGTTGTTAAGTGAGCTAGCAACATCTGGGTGGGGACTGTCTTTGTGTATTAGTCTTTTCATTGTCAGACTTTCTTGATGATACTCAAGTGCTTTAGTCAGATCTCCCATGTCTTTATACACACTACCTATGTTGTTAAGTGATGCAGCAACATCTGGGTGGGGACTGTCTTTGTGTATTAGTCTTCTCATTGTCAGACTTTCTTGATGATATTCAACTGCTTTAGTCAATTCTCCCATGTCATTATACACAAAACCTATGTTGTTAAGTGAGCCAGCAACATCTGGGTGGGGACTGTCTTTGTGTATTAGTCTTAACATTGTCAGACTTTCTTGATGACATTCAACTGCTTTAGTCAATTCTCCCATGTCATTATACACAAAACCTATGTTGTTAAGTGATGCAGCAACATCTGGGTGGGGACTGTCTTTGTGTATAAGTCTATACATTGTCAGACCTTTATGATGATATTCAAGTGCTTTAGTCAGATCTCCCATGTCTATATACACATTACCTATGTTGTTGAGTGATGAGGCGACATCTGGGTGGGGACTGTCTATGTGTATTAGTCTTTCAATTTTCAGATTTTCTTGATGATATTCAAGTGCTTTAGTCAGTTCTCCCATGCCTTTATACACAATACCTATCTTGTTAAGTGATCTAGAGACCCCACTTTCATCATTGATTTTTCTGCTTATTTTCAGACTGTCGTTATGATGGAAGAGTGCATCTGAGTAATTCCCTTGTGACTCATACAGTGAACCTATTGCATCCTGTATGGAAGCTATTTTCACCTCATGCTCTCCTGCATCTAGGGTTCGAAGTGTTTTTAACTCTGTTTGATAAGCATGCATTGCCCTCTTGAAGAAAAAAGTGTTCTTATATAATTGCGCTTTCACTTCATTGTTTCCAACATATCTCTTACTATATGCCCAGGCACCACTTACATTTAAGTTTGATTTGAGAAATTCACACCAGGGCATGAATGTGTTAAAAAATCGTAATATCGCTGTAAAACTTCTGACTGGCATCACTTCTGTTGTTTCATCATCTTGAGAGTCACTTGGTAAGAATGATATGAATTCCTTTTGTTGCTTATACTTTCCATAGACCATGTGTCTAAGATTGATTACACTACAAACCATGATTTGTAGATCTTTTGTTGCCCCTTCAGAAAGGATACCCTTCCATCTCAATTCCTCTAACACATCTAGAGGAGCAAATGATGTGCAACCATGCATGAGTTTCAGAATATTTATAGTGATTGTGGCAAATCTGTATATGTCATGCTTTGTATGCATTTTCTGAGTGAATGATTCTGATGACAAGGGGTTTTCACTGTATTTTTCTAAGTCTTTCTCCAGTGTTTTTACTGCTCGTTCTCTTCCTATAGTGATGTCTGGATTAGTTGTAGATGGTGATGATAATATGGAATGTACTTTGTCATTGTATTCCTTCCATAAGGCAAGTTCTCCAGTTATGAGTGTTGATGTCATGAGAACGTCACTAAGGTGATAACCCTCTTTGATTGATTCATCTGTGAACTGAAACTTGCTCATCTCATCCACAGTCATGATAAGTTCAAGTCTGGGAGGTTTATTGGGATCTACTCCTGTTTTTCTACCAATAGCTGTTTTGCTAGCCCAAGGTTGTGTCCCGTCAAAGGAAATCCCCCTAGTAGTTGCTTTGTCATAAAAGTCATTGTCTTTCATGTCAGGGGGTAGGTGTTTGTTGTAATCTGTCAGAACTGGTATGTCTAAGCAGTTTAGCAATGTTTCCCCAAGGTTAAGCACCTTCAAATGCATGTAATAGGCTATCATACGCAATTGTGTTTTGATTTGATTGACTGGTTTATCTAAGGGATCAAACAGTATTGCCCACTCAATATCTGAATAAGCAGTGACCTCTTTTCGGGATAGAGAACCAAGTGCTAAGAATGCAAACTTACAATCGGGGTGTCCTAAAACAGAAATAGAGTCATTGATAATAGACTTATAAAAATCTAAAAGCTGTTGTGTTAGTCCATTATAAAACACCTTGCTGTGTTTTATTGTGTTGTCTTCATCTTCTTCTTTCATCTCTGTGGTGACATCATCAACTACCATGTACTTTTCGATGATGTCATTTACGGTGGTGTTTGAGTACTCTCGTATATTTTCAAGTGTGTCTGTATACTTCTGTGTTGCAGCCTCTGTAGATAGTTCGCTATGATTTGCAGCTCGGCACTTCTTCACAAAGTTACTTTCTATAAGCTGGAGTTGTTTGTCAGTGTGTTCCAAGTCATCTTTAAGAGCTGTGTTTATGCCATCAGTTTGTTTTCTAATCAATTTCTTAATTCGACATTTGGCTGCATTATATAGTGCACAGGACCAAACGTAGTGTTCATACCAGATATCAGATGTCTCTGCTGATCTGATATACTCTTGTCCAAGTTGACACATGAGGTCTGCCTGTTCTTTCAATTCAATTTGTTGGTCACATGCTTTTATTTTGCAACCAAGTTCATACATCTCTTCCGTTACCTCTGAAAGATTAATGTTTAATTTCTTATTAAATTATATTTCATATATTCATGCTTAAAAATAAGTAATGTTATAGATGTTTAAAGATGCTTATTTATAGGGTTCATGGAATCAAATGGGTGCCAAATTCTTGATTTCACAATTTAGACTGAATTTGGTCAGGATATGAATACTTTTTATCACACCATCGGTGGGATATAGTCGTCATACTGGTCGTGGTCGTGATCGTGGTCGTGATCGTGATCGTCCCGCTTTTTGTCATCGCCGTTTGAGGAAAACTGCTCATCAGATTTTCTCCAAATTCGCAGAGATGATAGAGCCTATGAAGTACTAGAGCTGATTAACTTTTGGGTGGCCATCTTGTTTTCTGGCGGCCATTTTGAAGGTTTTTCGAAAAATCTTGTCATCGCCATTTCCAGTACTGTCAACCCCCAAAGATTTTCTCGCGGGACAGATTTTTTAGACCCAGTGCCAAAAATTCGTGGGATTTTGCGGGACATCCGCCTAAATTAGCGGGATTTTGCGGGACATTTAAGGAATTTGCGTGATTGCGCCAATAGGTCGAATTTCGATCGATTTCGCGGGACCATTCGAGGGACAAACACGCTAATTGCGGGACAGTTAACAGGGTAACCACCAAAGACTTCATAGAGGGGCAACCTTTTTTAGACAAAGTGCTTTAAATTTGCAGGATTGGCGAAACATCCACCTAAATTTGTGGGATGTCGCAGGACATTCAAGGGATTTGCGTGATTGGGGCTTAATTTAAAAGTACTCAAATCAAACTTTCAGATACTGATTTATCAAATATAATGCACTTAACTTAAGTAAACGTCAACACAATTCCACACAATACGCATAGAAATGTTATTAAAGGGGCAACAAGGCCTGAAGAGAGAAAAATCAAATTCTTTTACTTTTTCATAGCTATCAAGGCAACATTTGGCTTAACATCTTCTTTCACATACCTATTTTCTTAAAATGTATGGATAAACTATCAATTTCAGCATTAAGAAGTGTAAATTCAGTTCAAAGCTTTTATAAAGGGAGTCCCACTTATAGATTTTTAGGATGCACCATTTTGAGGAATATCGGCTGAAATAATGTTCATCCAGGGGGTTTCTTTGGAACTAATAATTTTAAAGTATATGTTAGTCTTGAAGAAACAGGCAAACTTAAATATATTTTGACACTGTTCCATGATCATTGAATATAGTCTCCACTCATTGTTGCACCTTTAAACTATCAAGAAACCACACTTGTGAGTACCGTAATCCAAACGAAATTCAAAAAATTCTGAACAATACTTTGCACTTATGGCGTTCGTGACCAACTATGAAACATTTACCCCCCATTGTGTTATATATTAAAATGTACCTTTTCATATAGGGGTCCGAATACACCCCAGTTGTCCGAAACCCATTACTCCGAAAAATATAGTCATAATTTACCAGAGAAAGGGGACGGACCAAGTTAAGCTTACGCCAGTTTCATGCCATGTATTTGGCCAAATTAATGGGATGGACACACTCTGATGTTTATAGATCTCTCTCTCTCTCTCTCTCACTTAGAATTGCACCCATTACATGGTGCTACTAGAATGGCAGGAACGGGGGATTTATTTTACATTGTGATCCTAAAAACGGTTATTAAAACACAATATATGTTACGGAACAGTTTATCTTAACTTCTTCGATCTCTTTTTTATAGGCAAAATAAAATGAAACATTTTGAAACAGATAAAAGAAGTTAATGCATGGAACTTTAAAAATAAAACAGTATACAATATTACGTTGTCAAAATATTTCGTCGTATTTAATTTCTTAGTCTCTGTCTCTTATCAAATCGTAAAAGAACAAAACATTCTAAAACTAATCACTTGGGATTTATTTTTCGGCATTCGTTTCCGGCATTTGTTTTTTATTGTTACGCGGTATATGGCATACATTCATGGTTGCGCGGTATTTGTGATACGGGTGAATATGCCATACTCACCTGCGGTATATGGCATATTCCGCAGGTGAGTATGCGATATTCCGCAGTGAATATGCGATACATTGATTTCAGTGAATATCCGATACTCAACTGCGGAATATGTCATACTCAGTTGCGGAATATGCCATATACCGCAGGTGAATATGACATATACCGCAGGTGAAAACGTGATGCAGAAAGCCTTGGTGTGATTGGTTGCGAGAATCGACTCTAAATGTAAAACTACGCTGGACTACCAATATAGTTAGTGCGTCGAGTACTAATATATGAATTCTGGATTGATTGAGTAAGTTTATTACGTGAGATTGGTGACTGATACTTCTGCATAAGTTAATATATTCGATACACAGTACTGTCGATTCAGTAATCAATATAATAATTTATAAAGTTAAACTTGTTCGTTCAATCGATGCAATTGACAATTGCGTACTTCCGTATCACGTTCTCATTGGTTAGTGTGTATGCCATATACCGCAGGTGAATCTGTCATACACCGCAAGTGAATATGCCATATTCGTTGCGGAATATGACATATTTTTGTATCGTGTTTACCGCGTAACGTTTATTTATTATTTTCTTCTCCTAAACTGTATTTGCTTTACAATAATCAGAGAAAGTGCGTATAAGTATTTTGCGTGGCATATTCTGTCACGCAAACAAAGGGGTGTGACTTCAATTTCTTGCCTGTCTGAGGACATATTGGGAATGAGGTAGAATATTAAAGAATTCTTATGAATGAGTCATGCAAGATACTAGAACTAGTAAAGTAATTTATTGGATAAGTTAATTTCTGAAGTATCTAGATAAAATATGTTTCAAAACTTTGTGAACACTACATAACTACATTAGGTAGATATAGTATTTTGATATATTTCGCTATCATGCATTTAAAATACGTTCCTAAAACTATGAAGACGTTAGGTGAGAAATATTGCTATTGTACGTTCAAAAAAGTATTTGGTTGTATTTTCTAGTTCTCAAGTTACCCATGAACTTTCGTGGGCTAACTTATTTTCGAACAACTGGGTTTCGGACAACTGGGTTTCGGAAAACTGATCGGATTCGGAGAATTGGGTTTCGGACAACTGGGTTGACCCCTATCGGGGTTTAGCTTCTTACACTGTATATCACAAGATAATCGCAATTATTTAGCCTCGGGGATTGTTACAATTTTGAAAATTCGCGGAGGTCAAAGCCGACATTTGCGGGACTTCGCGGGACATTGCGGGACACGCGAATTCGCCAAATTTTGATCAAATTCGCGGGATAATCCCGCCATTCGCGGGACACTTGACAGCTCTGCATTTCAGGAAAACCGCTCATTGGATTTCCTTCAAATTTACACAAATGATAGAGAATATCAAGTACTAGAGCTGATTAACTTTTGGGCGGCCATCTTGTTTTCTGGCAGCCATTTTGAAGATTTTTCGGAAAAATCTTGTCATCACCATTTCAGAAAATCCGCTCATCGGATTTCTATCAAATTTACACACATGATAGAGGATATCAAGTACTAGAGCTGATTAACTTTTGGGCGGCCATCTTGTTTTCTGGTGGCCATTTTGAAGGTTTTTCGAAAAATCTTGTCATCGCCATTTCAGGAAAACCGCTCATCGGATTTCCTTCAAATTTACACAAATGATAAAGGATATCAAGTACTTACTCTAGTAGCTCATGCTAGTTGAGTATGCACTTCTATGTCCAGAGATTTTCTCTTCAGAAATCATCTATGTGAAGGTCATTGATCAATTTTGGCTTGGTAACATATTTGCCACTGAAGGCGAAATAGGTCAAATGGCCACGCCCTTTTTTACGCGAATTCTCCCCCCCCCATTTTTGCATCTCCGGAACCGTTGGACATAGAAGGTTGTGAGACCACTCAAAATGTCCGGAATGGCCACATTATAGGGGGTCAATAATACATATGTATTTAAAAAAGTCAATGGTTCTCAAGATATTTGCCAAAAACTGATTTTAGCATGTTACGCACAACAGTTTTCATCTATCCTGCATCATTTAAGACTGAATCCGCAGCCTTTATCTAGTCAGATCAGCGAAGGAAACAAACTTTTTTGGTTGTTGAATTGGCCAAGAGGTCTTAGGTGAATGGGTACCCTAAACCACGAGGTTGCGAGTTTGAGACACGTGTGCTCCGTATGTTCATTCTTTTATGAGTACCATATCTAGTATCTACAAGGAATGCTGATGTATTATGAGTATTGAATATCGATTGAGTTTAATTATAAACCACGAGGTTGTGAGTTTGAGACACATGTGCTCCTTGTGTTCATTCTTTAATGAGTACTAGTATCTACAACTAGTTATCACTAGTTTTCATGTTATGTGTGGCTATCAATTGAGTTTATTTATGCAGATTTCTACACTTTGTGCCTTTACTACATCCACAAAACACAACACATTTTATGTCCATTGCTCTGCAGGTAAATGTCTTGGAACTAATGCAGGTTGTTGGGCATTTGCATGGAGGAGGTAGGTCATCAGGCCTGCATGGAACTGTTGCTTTATAGCCATACTGGCATGGATCTGGTGTGATGACTTCAGGAATTGGAGCTTGTAACCACATCTTGCACTGCAGATATGCCCGCTTTATGTGTTCCTGTAGAGTTGATAAGCAGCACACAAGTTGGATAAAATCAAGTCTTTCTTTGAGTTGTGGTACTGTTCCCACCGATATTCATCAAATGTGGAACAGTCTGTCTTCTTCAAACCGGATACAAGGAACTTCTCTGCATTCTTAATCATTTCTGGTGTAAGTTCCTCGACACCAAACCCTTCCAAAAGCGAGAGATCCATGGCTGATTTCATACCAGATAGTTTTGGACCAACTTTGCTGGTACTGTCACACCCGCTAAGTGCATGAATGGCTGGGAGACACGATACCAAATTGTTGTCCAGTTGATCAACTAACAGGTGGACTGGAACAGTTTTCTTGTTTTTACAGTTACCAAGCTTTACAAACAGCTTCTGTAGTTGCCAGGTCTTTTTGATGTGGAAGATGAGGTTGACAAAGACATCTGTGTCAGGTGAGTCAACCAAGACTGATTGAACC